TCTTTAGAAAGTATGTGTATGAAGTTGTGTATTAAAAAAATTATATATAAATATTCTAATTACTTGTGCTTTTAGTTTTTTGAAAAAAATGTGCAGAACATGAATCACCCAATCGTGTGTATTAAGGGTTAAGTAATGTAAAACTCCAGAGTTATTTAAATTCCAAAATTTATTGTCAGAGAGTACTGAAAATTATAGTGAATTTAATATGAATTAGATTTTTAGGCAGTAAATTTGGCAGTAAATTTTGGTACAGTTCAAGTTATTTTTGATTCTTATTTCAGATCAATCAATCAGTTGTTTTTGGTTCTTATTTCAGATCAATAAGTCAAGTGCAAAATGGAGTGTAGACTTCTCCTAATAATATTTATCTTGTCATTTAATTGTAAAATTGGTAGTACCTCTATGCTGGACTGGCTGTGGAGAACAAAAACAGATGATTCGAATGTTCTTGTCGCCGATGGTGTACCTCTGATCTCGATTCCTTACGAGTCAATGACAGAGGATGAGAAATTTCTTCAAGAGGCTTCCAAGTTCACGGATATTCAAGTGTCTTCCCCATTGGAGACTTGTCAGCACAAGGTCATTATGAAAATTAGAACCTCATGCTCCGACATGACGGAGGAAGACCTGGCAAAACTGGGTGTCAATCTCCTTAACTGCCAATCAGCAGTTGAAGGCAGGAAAATGTTTCCCTGCACTGAAGAAATGGTGCGTACTTCATAAAACACAGCGTCTTTGCGAAAAAAAGAACTTTCCAGATAGCAAACAGACATTATTGTCGATTTTGACATCAATGTTATAAAAATGTCATAAATGTTATGATAAATAATGTTTTCATTGTCTGGGTTTCGTTATTGTTCATTACCATTATGATTTGTCGATTATCGAGTCGATATCTTCTATATTCTATTGTTTCATAAAATCTATACAGGAATAATTGAATTATATACAATATAGAAAGTATTTTATTATATTTATTATATTGCTGTGACTTTTAATGAGTGTTTGATGCTCTCGCATGCTTAACAGTTTATTTATTAAAATTTATTGATTTATCATTTTTGTTAATGACAAGAGTATTGACTTACATTGTTAGTATGAGAACAGGATATGCTTATGCTGGAGAATGTCAGAACCCTTCACAGTTTGAGAGGGTAAATTCCATGCCTGTTCAAACCTGCACACTTCCCCCCTCCCTTTACTTTAGTGGTAGACCTCCCCAAAGCTTATGGTTTCAGTTGCTTAGTGCCGCATATGTTGTACTAGTGTTCGAATTGTTTTATTTATGCAAATTTTCATATCACAATAAGCTTGATTTTAATTTAAAAAAATTAGAAATATAAATAATAAATAACGAACAGTGCCAAAAAGAGGAGTGTGCGGTCTTGAAAAAATATGTGCATGTGACAGAATATAATTGTATAACTTTGTTGTATAAATCAGTGTAAGTACAAAGCATGATTTTTGTATTTTTTAGTCTCTTAAGCAATGTACAACCGACATGGATGCTGATATGTGGAATGCGTATCACTTAATAAGTAACAGAGCGAGGGCAATTTGTTATGCAGCTCGAAATACACAATTTCGTGCTCTTACAGAGTTGACTGTCAACAAGCTGATGCAGTCTACACATTCTCAAATCAAGGCATTGAATTCCTTGAAGGTAATTACATTTCTTCGTTATACGTTTCTTCGGTATATTTTTTTATTCGCTCTAAAGCATTATATTAATTATATTAAATAGCACGGTCAAGATCGTCTGGAAGAACAAACAACGGAAGCTCTATTATCGTTAACTGAAAAAAATAAGCTACTTTTGTCACAACAAGAAAACCTGAAGGATGCTCAGGCAACAGCTCACAATCTTGTAACAACAAACCTAAGAGAGTTGTATAATGAAAAAGCGTTAATACGATCTGGCCACGTTCAACTTGCTGCCATGACGGAAGAAATAAAAAAAAAATTAGGTTAGTAAACCAAACTTTTTATACAAGGTTTTTTATACTATTATACGTAAAAATTCTGAATATATTTAATATTTTCTTCAGAAAAGGCACATAAAGATTTCGAACAACAGGCTATCGAACGTGGAGAAAATCATAAGGAGGTATTGCAGGATTTGTTCAACATACAAGAACAAGCGCAAATGATTTGGGAGAAAATCGAACAAAGCACTAATCATTTGTTACAACAACATGAGGATACTATTCACCAATACGAACAAACGATGCAGATGCTCATGCAAATTAACGATACCATCCAGTACATTTGGAATCTCACTAATACAATGCGCATAGAAGTAGACCAAAAATTGGGGTGGATTACTGATTACATCGGCGATACTGGTATGATACAAGATATATTTGTTTTATAAGAAAACGACTCAATTCAACAATTGCGTAAAACGAATTTTGTTAAATTAATTACGTTACATATGATCATGTTAAGTTAAAATCTTTTGTTTAAAAAAAAATAAATTAGAATAAATTGGAATATGTTAATAATACAATATATCTGTATTTTTAGGTGAACAAATGCAAAGAGCATATCGCATATTTTTACATATTATGTATTTATTAGTGGCGATGATAATCGCCGCGTTTTTACAAGCACCTTTTTTAACCAGAGCTACCATCATGGGCGTTATACCAGCGAATCTTGTAACCTACTTGAAACAGGGCATGGGAGCTTGTTTAGATTTTACATCTATAACAGTGTTAATATTCTTGATCACCGCAAGTGAGTATATATTAAAACGCGTGATAAAATGTTTCTAAAATAAATATAGAAAACGAGGCAGTAATTGTATAATGCATATTAATGCATATTTAAAAATATTTCATGTATTACATTGACGTTTGACGTTTATTTTTTTATGCAGTGCATTTTTTAATGCTGGGAATTCAACGTATACTCGGACCAAACGTGCCAGAAGCGAAGACAGAGTTAATTAAGCTGATTCATCAACAAAAAGGCTATTCGAATGGAATTGCGCGTAACAACACATCTTCGTCGAATTCTAATTCCGTGCCAAAAATGCAGTTGCATACAAGATTAATGAGTAAAGTGCGAAAACTTTACAATCTCAGCGTTTCGCAAATAAATCATTTTAGAGGTATTTCTTCTATTTAAGACTGAAATTAAGCGAGAGAAATGGTGTGATAATTATTACAACATCTAATAATTTTTCCAGGGAAACTTAGTGCCTTGTTAGAGGCAGTCGCTTCATGGGGTGGACGCAATTTAAATGCTCATGAGGAGCTCTCTTGTTCGTATCAACCGTCAAGGAAGAAGCGTGAGGACATTATTCACTTGCAGTCAATGAAAGGTCTGATAGAATGTGATTCTTCTATCGAAAGCGCAACATCATGGCAGTATCAAGATAATTATTTTACAGATCATAATGATTATAACACAAATGATTTTAACGACACAGGAAAGTCGTTTGAGCATTTTCGGTATAATATGGATTTGCCGCGAACCAGAAGGTAAATAAATAATTGTCAAATGAAAAATTATTTTAAAAGAGAGGAAATCGTAAAACAGCTAAGGAATATTTTCAGTAATACTCCGATGCTGAAAATACCTTGTATGGGAATAACGAGAAATGGCAGGAGATGTCGAGCGTTTGTTTCACCTGGACAAAACTACTGTTACCACCACTCTGGTACATTGAGTGATCATCTTGATTAATCGAAAAAAGATTAATAATTGCAAAGTAGTTAGTAATGATTATATAATAATTGTTAAAAATTGAGGTTGAATATTTATTTATTAAGGTGTAAAATATTAGTACGATAATTAGTACGATTTAATAAGAAAGTAATCCGAGAAAAAAGAGTTCATGAGAAAAATAATTAATTTGGGAAGGATAAATAATTAAATATGGTTATAAATAATTTATGTATATTTTGCGATTTTGTAAATAACGTTCTTTTGATGATAATACAACAGTGATCTCAAGATCACTTTAAATTTGATAATATTTTCAATATATATATGTATTTTAGTGTTTTAGTTAGGTAGGCGTTTTAATTAAATTAATTTATATGACTTGTATTATTTGATCGTTGGGATTTAAGTACATTTCTATGTCGAGACGCACCTTACACAGTTACGAACTGTGCTATTAAAAAACTAAATTGTTTTCAATAGCTCAGTTTGAATAGTACGAATTTCAAGATCAAACTCTAAATAGCTCTGACCATTCGAGCTTGAAAATAAACAAAATCAAACAGTTTAAACTGTTCAATTTGACTTTACGGAAGTTTAAAATGAAATAAACGTTTCCTCTTTACGAATGTTATTTTCGCTCGAATTTCTCTCCATGTCTGAATTATTTCAACAATTGAAACTTTAACTATATTAATTACAATTAAATCTCACAATTTATTTAAAATCTTTTGTCTGATGAGTTAATAGAAATATACGTTCTTCTCAATGATAAATGTACAATACATATTTAAAGAAGATACGTAATCTCTTATCTTTTCCATAATAACGGATAATAATAATAATTAGTTTGTGTTTAATGTAAGCGATATTTAATATTTATATAGCGAGGTATAATCTACTATTTTATAAGAAAGAATATATCGAAATACAAACTTATGACATAAATCATCTTGTAACACTTATATACGAAATTCTGTAAATTAACATAAATATAAATTTTTATTATAAATGTTAAAAAGCTTATGGTTTTTCAAACTTATTCCGGCTCTCGTCGGAATGTTATAAAAATATATATAAATTTTAAAGAATTAATGTAATATAAACATAATGCATATATATTTTCATATATGTATATACATTATATTTATATTAAGCTTATTTTTTAAATATTTTTTAATTTTTATGTAATTGACAGTTATTTCTCAATTTATATATCAATATTCTTATATATATTTAAATATATATAATTATATAATATATAAGTATACTATATGTATATACATAAGTAAACTTTATATATATATAATATATAACAATATATATAATTCATATATATATATAAATTTTGAAATAAATTTACATGTAAGTTTTGAAAAACCACAAGTGACCGGTGTGTCTTGTTCATCAACAGACTGCCATATTGAATTGCGTACATGCAGCATTATTCGTCAGCTCCTGAAATTTCGCATGTCTGTCGAGACCAGCTCCCACAACCAAGTTGTGCAGATTGCAATAATTTACCCCGTAATCGAATATTGTGAACCAATCGCTTGAAACAGATTCAGCCTACATATTAATGATATTTTCGTTAATCTAACATTTGGTAATTTAAACTTTAGGGTTTTACATATAATTATTAAAAGAAAAAATTTTTTAATACGTTCTTTAATATTAAATTTATCAAAGAACGCGTCATTACTCAGCGAGAAATGACTGTCAATTAAACCTCGAATCAACGTTTAATTGATATCGAAATCATCGTATCGATGTTGATTCGACGAATCATTTCTCACTGAGTAAACATTAATGCGAAATTAATGAGATATCTCGTGTTTTCAACGCATATTGTAATATCGTTCGTGCTTTCATTATTTATCGTAAAATAATAATTCTGTTCAATTAAAAATTTACCTTAACGAAACACGTGTTGTTTATCTCCTTGAAGATGATTTCGATCCTCTCGAGTGACTTCGATGTCCTATGCGTCGCTCTAATTATGTTACTCTCCACAGGTAGCTTGAGCTGTCGCGAAATAAAAGTTAAAAGTTAATTTGCATTTAAAAATCAATTTTTACTCTTACCGTGTACTGACAAGTGCCGTCACGTTGTTGACAAGTGTTCCAAGAAGACCAATTCGTTATCTGGCGTCGGAATTTTTGCATCACGTGCGCGCATGGGTCGTCAAACTTCCTAGAGTAATTATCTTTAAAAAGTATTTAAATGACTCAGTTGGATAAAATATTTCCGTAGAAATCGTTTCATCTTCGTATATTTTTACATACTAAAATTTCTAATGTGTTTTAGGATTTTAAGATCTTATAAATTGCGATTTATTTCAGCTCTTCCTTTCAAACGCACCCATCTTTCTTTAGAGATATACTATATTTTTTTTTATAAGAAGTACCGGTTCTAAAGTTTCTACGTACTTGATGTTAATTTTAAAAGATACTCGAAGCGACCGAAAGTAATAAAATAGCGAGCTACCCCGGCACGACGCCGTTCGTTCTCGTGGAGTCGGAAAAGCGCGGATCGTATATTTTTCGGGCGGTGTCGTCTCGGCCAAAGCAAAATATACGAGCTCCACGTCGCGCCGGCGATATTGAGTTTCCCTGTGTATATAACGCGTTACGGGAGCGGCGTGGACGTCGCTTCAAAAGAAACTTTTCGAAAGCTCTAGTCCTCATAAAAACGACGCGACGATCATTCGCGTTAGCTATTGCTGTAGGATGAAAGGGATCCGATCTTTCGGCGCTCAGAAAAAAAAGGAAACGATAACGGCAGTTGTGGCGGAATGTAAATCCGTTCAAAAAGCTCTTGAACCTGTTCATAAAAATACCGACGTATTTTGTCCGTTATTTCGTTGGCGAAGTGTTTGATAATCGACGAATAGCTTTTGGCGAATGGCGTGTGATTTATTCGCAAAAAAAACGATGAAATTTGGCTATATGCGATTTCTTACAATTTCGGAATTTTAGCTTTTTAAAAATCGTGACAATATATATAGTAAACACCATCTAAACGTATGTAACATAACATCAATGTTAGAATTTCATATTCAACAACATATAAATGTAATATTACATATTGTACGTAACAGTTAAATTGTTGAAGTTATAACGGTGGTGTTTATTGGAAACTGTGTCTTTGGTCAAGGTTTTATAAAAAAAACATGTGTGAATTTAAGAAAAACGCATAACGAACGTCGTTATCTATTTAAAGGTTCATTTCGCTTTACGCATAATGTGCATCATTTATCATTGTTTAACATTCGATGAATAATAAGGATAAATGATGCATCATGCGCATCATGCATGAAACGGAATGCAGCCAAAGTATTGGGAAAGTTACTTTGCAAGTTACCTTTATATATTAGAAATTGAGTACAAGTTCGAGTATTTTATTTTTTATGTTATATTATTTGCTCAATTTTGTATTACTTTTTGTACTCAATTTCTATAAAACAAACACATATAAGGTAATGTAAAAAGTAATTTATAAGTAACTTATAAAGTAACTTTCCCAACTATCAAAGTACTATTCGCTTTTCTGAAGCGTGATTCTTAAACCGTTTGTGTCTTGACTCTTAATGTGTACATAGAGTGTAATTACCATTTAACAATGCACGAAGCGTGCAGAGGATATGGGAACAGCATTCCACTGATCACGATGCACAACAAGATCACCAACATCCCAATAAAACTGTAAACGCAGTATTTGCATCTTCCCTTGGACGACGCAATTGTTAAAATTACTGAAGGCTTCTCATCCGCTGTGTGAAACAATAAACAAGTAATTAAAATCAAATATATCATTCAAAAAGGTCAAAAGATTATCTCGTGTGTGTATAATAGATGCATATAATAAACAAAGAAATCTCCAAGAAGAATATTGAAGGATATTATCTTTACAAGAGCGAGTCGATGCTTTGAAAAATTATGGAGAAAGCTTACATCTCAGAGGATAAAGATTAAGATTGTTACTTTTGACAACTATGAAGTTTCGAAAGAACTTAATTCTTCGAAACTAACTATAACAAACTTTTAAAGTTTACTTCGAAGCTTCAAAACGTAACTTTGAAACTCAAAGCCCTCGAAATATCTTACACTTCGAAGATTCGAAGTTAAGTCCGAAAATTCAAAATTCTTTCGAATCTTCGAAGTTGTCAAAAGTAACAACTCTATTTAACTGAGACAAAATCTACAAAACAACTAGGAGATTAAAAAATACAATGTCGATCTTTTACTTAAAAACTGGATTTTGCATGAAGCTTAAAAATATCTCGCCTAAAAATATCGATTGAAGATCCATTCGGCGTATAAATAGACGTGTAAAACAATCGAAGGGTTTCAGAGAAAATGAAAGAAGAAACTAACCGTTTTGTCTCGACGTTATACGGTCGTCCTGCGCTTTTGCCGATTCTCTAGGATGGCGAAAATAATACGGAGACGAACCAATCACGTTATCTCCATGAGTCGACATCGTTCCCATCCTCTTGAGGCTCTTCGACGACCGGACCATATTACAGATCGATTATCTTTCATGCACAGAACGAAAGAGAGAAAATAAAAAAACGCACGTCCTTCCCCGAAATCTGTCTCTATGGTGAAGGCAAACGACTGTCGTCCCATGGGTCATTAGGCCATATATTTATTACATTGCACGATTGTTTTCACAGAGAACCTTTCAAATCGGTCCTTTTATACCAATTCGATCCAGTCCGGTAAGATCTTGTGGGAAAAGACAACTGAAAAATTAAAAAAATAAAATAAAATAAACTCAGAAAGGGATCTAAAAACTAAACAAAGAAGAAGACTCCTCTGCGGAATGCTGCGGAATTATCAATGACACATACATACTTAATGACAGTTTCCCATGAGCGTAGATCGGCAGATCTTTTTTTTTCTTAAACCTTTTTTACGACACCTCAATGACGCGTGATGGACCTCCCTAATGAATACTATCCTTTAAAACACGTTCCCATAAATGTACCCAGCTCAGCTACTACGCCTTTTTTCCATGCGTTCCCGATTAATTACTTTCTTCCTCTTCGTTCTCCACTCTCGTTGCAAATTATTACACATCAATTCTTTGACTATGTATAAAGATAATTTATATATTAATTATTACATTAATATATTCTCCAATATTATATTAATATATTAATATTCTAATTAAAAAAGAGAATTCCTATATTCGGCCAAAGCGAATCTTAGTGCTTAAATATTTCTGTGTGAATTTATATAGGGTAACTCCGGCAAATACACCGCGCTGGGATTTACGCCGCAGAA